CATCTATGAGTACTCTTCGCCTTTGTATAAAATTGAAGCGTACCTTCTTGCATACATGGATTCTATTAATGTTGTCCCTCTCGAGTCGGAATGGTTTGTTTCAGAAGAATTACTTAATGTGAAGATTCTTCCGCCTCTTGTCGATACCAAATTTGAAAGAAAAAGAAGAAAACGTGCCAAAGGCATCGGTGAGAATTTCAAGAGCAAGAGAAGGAACAAATGTTCAATTTGTAAGAGAACCGGACACAAGAGAACTACATGTGTGAACAACAACAAATCTTAAACAAGCTTGATTGAATTTGTTTTTGTAATCAAGCTACTATTTTTTTTCCGCTACTGTAATCAAGCTATTGCTTGTTTTTTGCTACTGTAATCGACCTTCTATTTTTTTTTCCTACTATAATCAAGCAACTGCCAACATTTTCGTCAATTTATTGTCATCTATTATCGTAATTACTCATGATCTAATATAGATCAATCAAAAGATGACATACATTTTGTACACTGTCTATTAAGCTGTGTATTATTAATACATGAAAATTCATGGTATTTGTAATGCAATGATTCTAATGCATGAATTAGAATATGATTAAGAATTAGAATTAGAATGAATTAGAATGATATTTGTGACTCTTTTTAATGCACCAAATCAAACAATGCTTAAGAAATAATCTAAGTATAACTAATTCAACTATAAATAATACAAGCATTATTTGCATATACACTCTACCAAATGAATTCTATTGCCAGCATTTTGGTCAATTTATTGTCATCTATTATCGTAATTACTCATGATCTAATATAGATCAATCAAAAGATGACATAAATTTTGTACACTGTCTATTAAGCTGTGTATTATTAATACATGAAAATTCATGGTATTTGTAATGCAATGATTCTAATGCATGAATTAGAATATGATTAAGAATTAGAATTAGAATGAATTAGAATGATATTTGTGACTATTTTTAATGCACCAAATCAAACAATGCTTAAGAAATAATCTAAGTATAACTAATTCAACTATAAATAATACAAGCATTATTTGCATATACACTCTACCAAATGAATTCTTAATGAATTGTCAAAAAATATAGATGTTACCATTAAAAAAAGTAGCAATTTGAACTTTTTTACCATTGTAAAATCTGTATATCTAAAATATTTACTAGTTATCAAAATATATAGACCATTTATACAATCAATACATCTATATGTGTGTGGTGTATGTATGCCATATGATATTTACACTCTGACATTAGTAAGGTATATTTGGGTTTATATCTATGTTAATGCATTGTCGATACTTCACCTACTAGAATCTGACACTTATATATAGACCAAAACTAGTAGAATTTAAAAAAGACAGCAATTAATTAATAATAAATTATATATTTGAAATTTATCCAATTTAATAAGTTTAAACAAGTCATATGATCAGGTAAGAGTCCACATAAATTGGGTGTGGTGATTAGTGATGTACAAGGAAGAGTTGTCGTTATACAATCAACATCCTTAGAACAATGTTTGAGAAAACATAAGTAATGTTGTGAGGATGTCACTTGTTCAACCACACATTGTTGATTGCCACCCCAATTTATATGGACTCATACATGATCATATGGTTATGTTGTAAAGATGTTGATTGTATAACCACACATAACTATTCATCATTCATACTTGTGCTTTCTTCACACATTAGTTTGAAGATGTTGATTGTATACCACAACTCTTTCTCATACATTATTTATCTCCACCCCTAATGTACGTGGACCCTTACATTACTTGTTTAAATTTATTTAATTTAATAAATTTCAATAATATTATTTATTATTAGTTAATCATTCTCCCTTTTAAATTATACTAGCTACAGTCTATATTTAAGCGTCATACTCTAGTAGGTGCAGTATAGATCATTTATGGATCATGATATCAACCCATATATACATTATTAGTGTTGAAGTGTAGATGTCGTTGGTACAATCTAAACCAAGCACATGAAAAAATATCGACTGTATTAATTATCTATATATTTTTACCAACGGTGACAATACTCAATTATCCAAGTTTTACAACGGTAACAAAGTACAAATTGCTACTTTTCAACAGTAACATTTATTTTTTTTAGTGTATAAAAAGAAGGATTCATGAACTCTTCCATCCTATTCTATTTTATAATACTTAAACATCTCTTTTTATCATGTCTCAAACATCCAATGCAAAAAAATCTTACGTTTGTCGTGGTGGTATTTTAGCTATGTTGAGGACGTCACACACCGATACGAACCCAGGTCGACAATTCTTTAACTGTGAAATTGGTGCATGCTCTTTTTTAAAGTGGATTGAAAATGATTCATCAATGAGCAGCCCATCAAAATTGAGTCCGGAACTCGAGACATCAAATTTTCAAGGCGTTACCAAATTTCAAATATTAGAAAGGCTTCGAAACTCCGAAGAAAATAGGGATTTGCTATTGAGTTTATTCAAAGAGGCCGAAGAGCAGAGAGATCACTTTAAAGGATTGCTAAAAGACACCGAAAAATATAGGGATCAACTAAAACAAAAGTTGATATTGGCTGAAGAAAAAGATAAAGGCCTAAAAAATATATTGCATGGTTTGTTGTTAGTGGTTGCTTTTTGGAAATGTGTAATAGGAATGCAGTAGTATAATCTTATATCTTTTACTCATGTTATAATACAGTCTATTAATAAAATGAGTCTTTTTGGAATTGGTAAGACAATGTATTATATATACAATTTAAAATCGATAACTGGCAACAATATCCATCAAAACAAAAATAACATTTACATGATCTAACTGTCTTATTCATCAACCACCAAAAACCAACTGTCTTAATCATCTACCCACTTCAAAAATCAATTGTCTTAATATTCAACCACCAAAAACTAATTATCTTAAAAACTAATTGTCTTATCATCAACACGAAAAGTTAACCATTTCAAAAATCAATTGTCTTAAACCAACTTCAAAAACCAATTGTCTTAATAAACCAATATCACAAATACCTTACTCATTACCATTTTGCTCACCATTGAGCTCCATAACAATACCCATCATGTCCACTGAATTTTCATCACTGCCTTCTTTTCCCTCTTCTGCCAAGACTTCATCTACTTTCTCTTCCAGCTTCTCCTGCTCTTTTTCTTCTTCTTCCTGCAATTCTATCTGCTCCTCTTCTTTTTCTTGTTCTTTGTTCTCTTCGATCTTCTCCTCCTCTTTTTTTTCTTCTTCCTTCTTTTTGATTTGCTCCTCTTTTTTTTCTTCTTCTTTATTCTCTTCGATCTGCTCCTCTTCTTTTTCTTCTTGTTTTTTCTCTTCCAACTTCTCTTCAATTTCTTCTTCGTTCTCTTCCAGTTTCTCCTCTTCTCTTTTTTCATCTTGTTCATTAACTTCTTCTGCAATAAGATCTTTATCGACTATTGCTAATTGAAGGATTTCATCAACATCAATGCAGCACCATCTTTATCAACTGTTGGTGTTGTATAGTTTAATTAACTACTGCAAGATCAGTGGCTTAGCATTCTTATAAATAAATTATTTTACACAAATACTATATAAATTAGTCTACCTTCATTTTTCTTGTTCTTTTGAGCTCTCCTCAATTTCTCATCTCGTATAAAAGCAACAACTTCCATCATTGATAGTTCAAGGGATGCAACATGCTCACACAAATTATCATCTTTATTTTCTGTCCACTCGAAACAGAATTCTCACAAGGTTGGTTGGAATTGTTCTCACCCAATATTTATCCTCCTCGTTCTCTACTACAGAAGTGAGGTCAGTGACACCTTTCAAATTGGCCTTCAAGGCATCAATGATTGTGTCCTTCACTTCGTCCGTATATGACTTTAATGTTGCCATATAATTTTATTTTGTCTCACGGACAATAGGTATGACGTATGGATGCACAACCTATAAAAAAATAATAGTACAAGACCTTCACTAATTTACAAATATTTCTAGATAAAAATAAATAAGTTTATACCTTTGTACTTCTCCCTTTGTACTTAAATGGATCACCTTCGACAGTATTATCGCTCTTTGTCGTGTGCCATCTAAGTAAACGGGGAATTGGCAGAGGAGAATCCAAGGACTTCTTTGCATAATTATCAAGATGAGGAAAAGCCTCATATATCCAAACCTGAAATTAATAAAATAACAAATAAATAAATAGAGAATATGAAATACTATATAAATATATAAGAGTTTAATATTAATCAAGTACATAATTGATAATAAGTACCAGAAATGCCCAGGGGAAGCCATACGAAGCATACGATGCATTCCCTCTTTCCTTCACTTTGTTTCTTCAAATTAATTTTGTTCTTCAAGTACTTCACTTAAATCAAAACACTCTTTGCCTCACGAATAACTCTTGAAAAAATCTAAATCATCGACCATCTTAATGTGGTTTAAATCCACAATCTTAGATCGATCGTGGGCAAAGCAACATCGAGTGGACGAACCAAACTAAAGAGCACTTCAACTTCTTCTCCTTATTAAATTCGGTACCCTTAATCAAACTCATCAACTTTGTACCACTGATTTTCTTATTCTTGGTCACTTTATAGTACATTTCTCACATTTCTGAAGCACTTTTTTAAGCACGGGGGTATGCTAAGCAATTCAGCCCCGTAATCAATGCAAACTCTTTTAAGCCAAAACAAGCAGGCTAACCATTCACACAAAACCACATCTCATGCAATTTTTTTTTTTTATTTACACGACACAACAACATATAATGGGCCATTTGTCCATTGACCTTGTAATGTTCTGGAATATGTCTTAAATGTCCAAAACAAGTACCTTTAAAGTCATTATAAATTTTTTCTTGAACTAAAACATTTCTAAAATCACGATAAAGAGTCATTTTTGCTCTCACAGAAATTTTCGCTGGAAAAGATCCTAACTCATCCATATGCATGTCGTTAGATTATAGGACTTACCAGAGATCTCTCTTGCACATGTTGGCAAGGACAGGGGATCATCATTCTCATCTCCAGTATCTCGGTTATCTCTACTACTCTCTTCATCTCCACTGACAGTGTTTTCTTCACTAGACTCAACATCATCAGTAGCCTGGGCACTACTGTCCTCATAGTTGTCAATTTCAGCCATCGTATCAGAATTCGAGTTAGACTTGGGTTCTTCAACTATAATTTTTTTCTTTTTTGAAGATCTTGAAACTTCTTCAACCTTTCTTTTCTTGTTTTTAGAAGGCTTAGGAACATATCGTTTAACAATCCCGCCTCTAGTTTTAGCCATAACCAGAGTAAACCTCCAATAAAACATACAAAATAAATTACAGATTCAACAGAAATCAACAATGCGATTGACAGAAACGCCACTAAAGTCGATCAAAGTTTAGTCAAAATTTCAAAATCAATAGGCGAAATAAACTTTAAATTTTTTTAAAAAAATTAGCAACCAAATAGGGTCAAATATTTATATCCAAACAAACACGTCATTAGAGACCACAAATATTCATGGAATATGGCGAAAAATTCATCCTAAACAAGAACATGAAGAAAAACAGTCTAGAAAAAGGAATCATTAAATCATTACACTATTATAACAAAATAAACAACCAAATACAACTAAAAATTACCGAAAAACACCATTATAGAAGATTCAACTTACCAAAGATGAAAGCTTTGAACTTGGGGAAGAAGATTGAATAAAACAGATGAAGATTTGAGAGACGTTTAGGACGATGAAATGATTGCAAAGTTTATATAAGTTAATGAAAGAGAAGTGGAGATCCCAGAGAAGTGTATGGGGAAGAGAAGCGATGATTACACTTGTAGAGAAGTGTATGGGGAAGATGAAAACCCCTTGCACTTGAGAAGAAGAAACGTCGGAACAAGGTTTCAGAAAAAGTGCCCTTTTAATATATTTTAACAGTTTAAATCAGATTTTAATATAAAATTACGTAAAATGTATTGGGATTAAATATATTTTGTAAAGATATATATTTTCCCCAAGTTTTAAAAATAATAAACAAGCCCATGGCCCCACATTCACAAATATACCCCAAGTTTTAAAAAGGTCAAAGAGACCCATGATCCCACACTTTTTCCTTTTTTAAAAGCCCAACCATAAAAAATAAATCAAAAATAAATTAAGTGGGTATAGAGTAAATTAAGTTATTAAGGTGTCCCCAATGCCAATTCTTCTCTAATTACATCATGAAATTTCTAATAATGACGGAATGAGTCATTACACAAACTAAATATGCTACTAACTTGGAAACGATATTTCTAACTTATTGGAATCATCAAACACCTAAACAAGGTCCTTTTGACTAGATATTGACCAAAATTAACTCTTTAACTTCTAACTTATTTCCAACCAACTACTCAAAACACACCAAAAAGCCTCAAGTCCCAAACCAAAGACCCTACTTACTCAGCTCAACTTCTATATTGATCAAAGCCAAGCATATCAACTTCCAAAACTTCCAGAATGAAAAAGCTTACATAATTCTCAACCAAACACCTTAGAAATTAAACCACCCACCTAATAGACCATAAATAATATAAACAATTATGGAAAGGGGTGAAAGAGTAACAACAGACAATATTTTCAAATTAGCTATGAGGTTTGTTACATAAATGATGATCTCTTTGATCATATTTTAAAAATATATTTTGAAGTTTTAAATTTATAATAATTTTAAGTAATTTATAAATCTATAAATTTATATAAAAATATTTGAAATTATTTATTCAAATTTGCACCAAAATTAATAATTTTGTGTACAACCATGAATCCGGTCACATAGTAATATTGAAACAAAACAAATGTAGTCATCTCTCTATATCATCATACAACCAACACTCTCCTCTTTGTCTTATTCAATCCCTTCTTTTATATATATATATATATATCAAAAAGGTTTAATCTTTATTTAAAACTACTTCTGGGGCTTTGTTGTGTTTGCGAATAACAAGAAAACTAAAGTCAATGGTTGATATGTTTAACGAAGAAGAGTTACATGATACAAGTGTGTTGAATAGAGGAGATGATTACTTGCAGGTTATATGAAGCTACACCAACCCTCTTTAGGCATATTTGGTGCTATACGTAGGGTTTTTACTTTTGGTGAAATCAAAATCATATGTGAACGTTTACCCGGTTATCGTGAAGGTTTTAAACATAAATCGAGTATATTCGTCAATTTAATTTATTTCATTTTTTGTGCCTTCATTTATATGTTTGTGTTAAATTTATGTTGTTGATTCGATTGTGTGCTTATAATGGAATTTTATATTTGTACTTTCCAAAAGAAAATAAGATTTCATTTATTTTTGAATGCTTACTCAAACATAGGATATATCAAGAATAGTTTGAGTTCACCAAAAGTAAAAACCCTAATTTTAGCATCAAAATTACCAAAACGAGATTGGTACAAATAACCTCCAAGCAATCATCTCATCTCTTAAACACACTTAAATCAGGAAACTCTTCTTCATTAAACATATCTTCAGCCATTATTACTTTCTCTCAATTATTTGCAAGAACAAAAAATATTCAAAAAATTTCTGGGGCGTTGTTGTGTTTGCGAATAACATCAAAAGTAAAGTCAACGATTGATATGTTTAACGAAGAAGAGTTACGTGATACAAGTATGTTGAATAGATGAGATGATTACTTGCAGGCTATATGGGGCTACACCAATCCTCTTTAGGCAAATTTGATGCTATACTTGGGGTTTTTACTTTTGGTGAACTCAAAATCATATATATGTGAACGTTTACCTGATTATCGTGAAGATTTTTAAAATAAATAGAGTGTATTCATCAATATAAATTATTTTATTTTTTGTGCCTTCATTTATATGTTTGTGTTAAATTTATGTTGTTGATTCGATATGGTGTGCTTATAATGGAATTTTATTTTTGTCCTTTCCAAAAGAAAATAAGATTCCATCTATTTTCGACATGCTTACTCAAGCATAGGATATATCAGGAATAATTTCCTACCTAAATAAGGTAAGTGTAATGTTGAATATGTTGGGAAAATATTCACAGAAAGTTTTGAGTTCACCAGAAGTAAAAATCCTAAGTTTAGAATCAAAATTGCCAAAACGAGATTGGTCCATATAGCCTCCAAGCAATCATCTCATCTCTTAAACACACTTACATCAGGCAACTCTTCTTCAATAAAAATATCTTCAGCCACTATTACTTTCTCTCTGTTATTTGCAAGGACAAAAAATATTCAAGAAATTTATGCGACTTTGTTGTGTTTGCGAATAACAGGAAAAGTAAAGTCAATGGTTGATATGTTTAACGAAGAAGAGTTACGTGATACAAGTATGTTGAATAGAGGAGATAATTACTTGCAGGTTATATGGGGCTACACCATTCAAATTTAGGCAAACTTGGTGCTATACTAAGGATTTTTAAGTAAAGATTTTTAACATAAATAGAGTATATTCATTAATTTAAATTATTTCATTTTGTGTGCCTTCATTTATATGTTTGTGTTAAAAATATGTTGTTGATTCGATCGAGTGCTTACAATGGAATATTATTTTTGTACTTTTCAGAAGAAAATAACATTTCATTTATTTTTGTCAGGCTTACTCAAGCATAGGATATATCTGGAATAGTTTTTCTACCCAAACAAGGCAAGTGTAATGTTCGGTAAATATTCACAGAAAGTTTTGAGTTCACCAGAAGTAAAAACCCTAACTTTAATATCAAAATTTCCAAAATGAGATTGGTACATATAACCTCCAAGCAATCATCTCATCTCTTAAACACACCTACATCCTCTTCTTCATTAAACATATCTTCAGCCACTATTACTTTCTCTCTGTTATTTGCAAGCACAAAAAATATTCAAAAAATATTTGGGGCTTTTTTGTGTTTGGGAATAACAAGAAAAGTAAGGTCAACAGTTGATATGCTTAACGAAGAAGAGTTACGTGATACAAGTATGTTGAATAGAGGAGATGATTTCTTGCCGGTTATATGAGGCTACACCAATCCTCTTTAGGCAAATTTTGTGCTATACTTAGGGTTTTTACTTTTGGTGAACTCAAAATCATATGTGAACGTTTACCTGATTATCGTGAAGGTTTTTAACATAAATAGAGTATATTCGTCAATTTAAATTATTTCATTTTTCGTGCCTTCATTTATATGTTTGTGTTAAATTTATGTTGTTGATTCGATCGTGTGCTTATACTGGAATTTTATTTTTCTACTTTTAAAAAAAAAAAAAGATTTCATCTATTTTTGACATGCTTACTCAAGCATAGGATATATCAGGAATAGTTTCTCTACCTAAACAAGTTAAGTGTAATGTTGAATATGTTGGGTAAATATTCACAGAAAGTTTTGAGTTCACCAGAAGTAAATTTCCTAAGTTTAGCATCAAAATTGCCAAAACGAGATTGGTACATATAACCTTCAAGCAATCATCTCATCTCTTAAACACACTTACATCAGGCAACTCTTCTTGATTAAACATATCTTTAGCCACTATTAATTTCACTCTGTTATTTGCAAGCACAAAAAATATTCAAAAAAAATTTGGGGATTTGTTGTGTTTGCGAATAACAGAAAAACTAAAGTGAATGGTTGATATGTTTAATACAGAAGAGTTACGTGATACAAGTATGTTAAATAGAGGAGATGATTACTTGCAGGTTATATGGGGCTACACCAATCCTCTTTAGGCAAATTTGGTGCTATACTTTGAGTTTTTAAGTGAAGGTTTTGAACATAAATAGAGTATATTCGTTAATTTAAATTATTTCATTTTTTGTGCCTTCATTTATAATGTTGTGTTAAATTTATGTTGTTGATTCGATCATGTCCTTACAACGGAATTTTATTTTTGTACTTTCCAAAAGAAAATAAGATTTCATTTATTTTTGACATGCTTACTCAAGCATATAGGATATATCAGGAATAGTTTTTCTACCTAAACAAGGTAAGTGTAATGTTGAGTAAATATTCACAGAAAGTTTTTTGAGTTTACTAGAAGTAAAAACCCTAAGTGTAGCATCAAAATTGCCAAAACGAGATTGGTACATATAACCTCCAAGCAATCATCTCATCTCTTAAACACACTTATATCAGGCAATTCTTCTTCATTAAACATATCTTCAGCCACTATTACTTTCTCTCTTATATTTGTAAGCACAAAAAATATTCAAAAAATTCCTGGGGCTTTACTGTGTTTGCGAATAACAGGAAAAGTAAAGTCAACGGTTGATATGTTTAACGAAGAAGAGTTACATGATACAAGTATGTTGAATAGAGGAGATGATTACTTGCAGGTTATATGGGGCTACACCAATCCTCTTTAGGCAAATTTCGTGCTATACTTAGGGTTTTAACTTTTGGTGAACTCAAAATCATATGTGAACGTTTGCCTAATTATCGTGAAGGTTTTTAACATAAATAGAGTCTATTCGTCAATTTAAATTATTTCATTTTTTTTGCCTTCATTTATATGTTTGTGTAAAATTTATGTTGTTGATTCAATTGTGTGCTTATAGTGGAATTTTTTTTTGTACTTTCCAAAAGAAAGTAAGATTTCATCTATTTTTGACATGCTTACTCAAGCATAGGATATATCAGGAATAGTTTTTCTACCTAAACAAGGTAAGTGTAATGTTGAATATGTTGGGTAAATATTCACAGAAAGTTTTGAGTTCACCAAAATTAAAAACCCTAAGTTTAGCATCAAAATTGTCAAAACGAGATTGGTACATATAACCTCCAAGGAATCATCTCATCTCTTAAACACACTTACATCAGGCAACTCTTCTTCATTAAACATATTTTCAGCCACTATTACTTTCTCTCCGTTATTTGCAAGCACAAAAAATATTCAAAAAAATTTTGGGGATTTGTTGTGTTTGCGAATAACAGGAAAAGTAAAGTCAATGCTTTATATGTTTAACGAAGAAGAGTTACGTGATACAAGTATGTTGAATAGATGAGCTGATTACTTGCAGGTTATATGGGGCAACACCAATCCTCTTTAGGCAAATGTAGTTCTATACTTAGGGTTTTTAAGTGAAGGTTTTTAACATAAATAGAGTATATTCGTCAATTTAAATTATTTCATTTTGTGTGCCTTCATTTATATGTTTGTGTTAAATTTTATGTTGTTGATTCGATCATGTGCTTACAATGGAATTTTATTTTTGTACTTTCCAAAAGAAAATAAGATTTTATTTATATTTGACATGCTTACTCAAGCATAGGATATATTAGGAATAGTTTTTCTACCTAAATAAGGTAAGTGTAATATTGGGTAACTATTCACATAAAGTTTTGAGTTCACCAGAAGTAAAAATCCTAAGTTTAGCATCAAAATTGTCAAAACGAGATTGGTACACATACAACAATCATCTCATCTCTTAAACACACTTACATCAGACAACTCTTCTTCATTAAACATATCTTCAACCACTATTACTTTTTAAGAAGAAGAAAGAAGGAAGAAGGATGAGGAGAAGGAGAAGGAGAAGGAGAAGGAGCAAGAGGAGGAGGAGGAGGAGTATGAGGAGGAGGAGGAGAAGAGGAGGAAGAAGGAGAAGAAGGAGAAGGAGGAGGAGGAGGATATCTTCAACCACTATTACTTTTTAAGAAGAAGGAGAAGGAGAAGGAGAAGGAGGAGGAGGAGGAGAAGAAGAAGGAGAAGAAGGAGAGGAGGAGGAGGAGAAGGAGAAGAAGAAGAAGAAGGTGCAGAAGAAGAAGAAGAAGAAGAAGAAGGAAAAGGAGGAGGAGGAGAAGAAGAATTCTTTATTCGACTCTCCAAATAACAACTCGAGGACATAAAGTGGAAGAAAGGGAATACTAGTTATTGTATACTTATAATATCATTTGATGTTTAACGTTATTTTATTGTTACAGAAGATTATTTTTTCAATGGATAATAATGATAATTTTGTTATCATATCATATATAGGTAAAATTTATATCTATATATTCTATCTTTATTATTCTAAAGGTGGAAAGTCTATAAAGGTAGAACTTAAAAGTTAGATTATGAAAATATCCATTAAAAATTAATTGACTAATTTATCCTTCGCTAAAATAGACCAAATACATAGTTAGAATTTACCACTTTCCATTGGATGTTCATGGTGTATATATGCCTCTAGAAAAACATCAGATGACTCTACTATCATGAAAAAAACATTAGTTTAATTATAATTTTCATATTGCGTCTAAGAGTTGAGCACACGTAATTCCAAATCAAATCATTTATATTCGTTATTCTGAAATTTATTTATATTTATCATCACATGCAATAAACACATATTCAGTCTATCAGAATTACATAATTCTAAAGGTCAACCACCAGAACACCGTGCCGGTATGCTTAATCATGTTGTCTCTACCAATTCTATAATGTAAATATATGGCACTAACCAAGTATATATATACATACATAAAAATAAACCATAGGATACCTCAATGCCAAGTTTCTTCCCTAGTGCCCATGCAGTCTCGCTTTTGTCGCGAACCATATTTTTGAAGAAGAATCCGAGGGGAGAAATGGAGTTGTTTTCCATGGAAAGTCTTTCCTCCTACCTCACTTGAGCTCTTAATTTTCTCTCAAAATATGACCTGGAATTGTTATGCATCCAAAATAGTTACGGTTGAAATGTACTATGCATCAAAAATAGTCCTAAGAAAAGAAGAAAGGAGCATATAGTTGTATTATATTTTAAAGATTAGCAATTCTATAATTATAATCCGTTGTAATTGGTTCATTGACCATCAAATATCAATTTTTTGCTAAACAAAAATTCAGTAGCTGACTAAAGATTTTAGATTGCCCATTTAGTTAGGATTACACAGGGAACCTCAATACAACGACATCCTTCAAGATGGATTACACAGTCTAATCTATTATTTTATTTCAAAATAGAGAAGAATCCAATCAATTTTTTGACAAGAGAAATATTATGCAACACACAGAAATCTTAAATAGATTACCAAAAAAAAATAATCTCAAAACACACCTAAAAAAAAGAAAAGAAAAAATGTGGATGTACCAGACAAGAAGTAACGTGCTCGATTTCTTGATTTTGATCACTCAAAAATTTGCTTTCTGTTGATGAATCTGATGACAAGCAAGCAGGATGTATCATTTGAATTGAAAATCAACTATTAGAATATCCAGTTGAAATAGAAGAGGGACGCTATTAATTTCTTATGAATCTACCTAGAGCATCTATGAATTTGAGGGATAGAGACGTACCTTTTCGATGTTTTCTATGTATATCAAGAAAAAGGAGAGATCTTTTCGATGTTTTCTATGTAGATGAAGAACTATAATTTGGGGGATAAAAGTCTACAGGTTAGTATTTATGGATGTAATAATGTGAGATGTTTTTTAAGGGAAGGGAAATAATATTTATTGTTTCATTCCTCTTTAAAAACTAGATAATGAAAGGCCCATATATGGGCCCAATATTATAATTTTAAGGAAAAATAATCTAAATACATAACTTTAAGTTCCTTATTGTCTATTTTTTCCTACTTTTTAAAAAAATTACTTAAATCCCTTATTTCACTTAAATATCAAATCTGTCAGATACATGATTCACTTTTACATCCCACGTTTCACCACTCCCTATGTCACTCCTTTTTTTCCCCCTAAATTCACTCCAATATCTTTTCAATTACAAATCATTATCCCAAATTGATTTTCAAAAATTTTCTCTCTCAATCCAACCATTTTCAAACTTCGTCTTCTCCGTCCTCTCTCCCAAAGTCTGTCATTGCAATTTTCATCTTCTTCCTTCCATTTTTATTTTGTTTCAGGTTTTTCTTCTTGATACATATGGTTCCAGATCCTACATCAAATCTTTCTAATACTAATTGAACAGTATACGACTCCGATGATGAAAATTGGGCAGAAATTAGATCAAAAAGTTTACATGACCCATTTAACTTGATGAATCAGTCGACGAAAGATGTGCCAGAATCGTCTAAATCAAAGGTTGCAAAAAACCCCCCAAAAAAGGGGAAGAAAAGCAGCACCCGCTATTTCCAGACCTTCATTGCCTAGAGTATGTGTTTTTAATCTTTATTAAACTTGTTTGTGATATGTATTACATTTGCTATCTTAGACTAAAATTGATTGATACCTTAATTAGATGTGTTATATTGTTTATTGGATTAAATCATGATACATACAATAACCCTATCTTAGTTTGATACTTACTGATTTGAGATTTAGTTGACACTTATAAAACCCTTGTTTGATATGTGTATAAAAAAATGATACATGACAAACCCCAATATGAAAAAGATATTTGTCAAATTTAACAAAAAGGTCGTTGATGTATCAGACAGGGCATCCTTTTGTATAATGTATCAAGTTTTATAATACGACTCTGTTGAAGTCTGGTAGCATGTATTTTTCTATGTATCAACTTGTTTTTATTATGTATCATTACTTGTTGTGTAGTGTGATTTGATGTTTTTATTTATGTATCATAAGATATCATTATAAATAGTATAATTTTCCTTTTCATTTTGCAGTCAATCAAATATGTTATAAAAAAGGTACCAACACATGCCATAAGGTTTGGTGTCCCTTTTAACACAAATTTTTTGAAGGAGTTCCAGAGTCTATAGGGGATGATGTAATTGAACTGTTCAGAGCTACAATATTTGGACGCTATTTAGACATCCCTAAAAGTAATTTTTAGGGTCAAATCAGTAAATGTTTGTTGTTGTTAGAATTGGAACAAGGAACTCAAAGGTGTTGCATATTAGGCATGTAAATGGGGGTATCTTGAAATTTGGTATCAAAGAATTTGCAATAATAACTGGTCTCAAATGTAAAGGCAATACCAAAGACTTTCAATACCCAGAATCACCTCCCTGTAGGCTATTCCAAAAATATTTTCCTGGTGCAGTTAATAGTATAAGCAAGAATCATCTAGTCCAACGATTTCTGATGGGTAACTAGGAGAACAATTAGGATGCACTTCAGATGGCTATCATGTACTTTCCCCATACATTCATTTTGGCTCAAACTGGTGATTCTTCAATATCTGTTAACAAATTCTTAATGGTTGAAGATGGTAGATATCAAGTATATCCTTAGGGACAAATTGCATTCACAAAGCTCATGGATTCACTTCGAAAAAATTTCAATCTTAGCAAACAGTTGTATCGGTTATATGGAATGCCCTATGCACTTAACATATGGACATACGAATGTGCATTCCAATTAAATACTGAAATTGCTGTCAAAGAATGGAATGTCATCCCTAGAATTTGCAATTGGAGGGTTGTGGCTTTAAAGCCAAAGTTTGAAATGCTTATGTCTAGCATTTTTCAAAAGGTAACATTGAATCCCATTTTATATTACATTTCATACATAATAAAGTATATAGTTGTAAGGTTGCAAGTTTGTCTTTTTAAAATATTTTTTTCTGTGTTAGGGTACATAATTTTGTGTTTTAATATTAAAAAATATTTTGTTTTTTCAGAATGCATGATCAAACATTATGCCAACACTGGAGGAACTATTGCAGCTTTTGATTTACCTAAAGATGAACATGCTCCTCCTTCTTCACCCCCCACAACATCTGTCAATCCCAAGATAGTTCAACCGAATGACATTGCTGATTTTGATGATTTCTCCACAAGACCTCTCGGATAGTTGTTAAGGAGATCATCTATAGTGTCTGATACATCATCTCCACCACCACCAAAAACAAGAAAGAACGGGGATACACCTAAAACAAAGGTGTTAGAACCCAATCAGCTAGATCAGTCCAATGTGTCATTAAACCAACCATTTTTTTTATTTCAGATGGTCCTCTGACACCGGCTGCTAATTCAAGTTATTGAAGAACTGAAAGATCATTTGGAGAATTACGTAAGTAATTATTTCAATTTTATTATTTTTTTCTTTATATTGACTCTAATTGTAGTTATTTTTTTATAATTTTTTGATAGGTTGAAAAGAAATTTGAGGAACTTGTAATCTTGATAAAGGAAAACCACTCGCAATTGATGCGATCTCGACACAAGAAAAACAACAATGTCGATCCTCAATCAAGCAATAAACAACCATTTCCACATATACGGACTGATCTTCCTGATGCAGTTGGTGTAGCTGATTGTGAGGTTGGTGTATCTATTAATGAGGGTGGACATCAAGCTAACGTCAATGCAGAGGTATGTATCTGATACATTGTTTGTAATTGTCGTTATACCTCATACATTAAGTATGTATTAAGAATCAAAATCATATGTATCAACACACATAAGTCATGTATATAGTTAAGATGATTCACCGAATCTTCTATCTCATTAAACAATTATATATTTCAACTTTATATTTATCACTTAAGTTAAATAATGTATCAGTAACAATTATGTTAACACTTTTTTTATTATTAAAAATTCAAATATAGATTGATCATACTATCAGTAACCAATAACAAATGAAGCGTGTTTCAGAACTCCAACCAACATATGAAAGTACTCATGTTGTACTGGAGCAAATGATCCTAAGAAGGTATCAATATGATCAAAACTTTATACATTACAATTTTCTTTGATGCATTATCCTCTTCTTTTTTTTATTTTATATATATGATACATTATTAGTATAATGGGTAACTGATACATACAACATGCTTATATTCATGATGATGAAGCACATCAATCCCCACAAGATTTAAATGAAGTAATCATGGATGAAGATGGTGTTGACATAGTTCAACACAACATTCGTCATTTTGTGACTGATAAAATAACAGTTGATACATCGATAAATTTATCAATTATGCATCATGACACTAACATTCATTATATCAAATTTTACTAAAATTATTATTATATCATATTATACAGGATTCTTCCACATCAACAACAATATCGCCCTCAACTCAAGCAGCAATAGATGCACTTATATTCGATCTAGGAAAATTTTCTATTCCTGCTAAATCATTTTGTGTTTACATTCCATAGAATTTAATTGACAGTCATGATTTGTTGTCTGATAGTCAATTATCCATTGATATTCCAACCACCGAGATTGTTGTTAGAAACGATTCAAAGGCTTCTGCGCCTAGAAATAGGATACCTTCAAGAATTATTCAATCTCCATACGTGACTTCTTTTGGGTCAAGCGAGAAGGGAAAAGAGAAATTGGATGACGATGTTCGTCTGTATTTCCCATTTGAAGGATGTGGGATTACATATCAAGCTTCGTCTAAACTAATTGATGAGTATATGCAGTGGTTAATCAAGGGGATTCTCAAAAATCATGTCAATAAGTAAGTTTTATACATATATTTTGTAAATGTTTGGATTAACCTATTTTGATATAACCAATTGACAATACAAACATTATCATAGGAAATCATCGAAGGATAAATATAGATCAAAAGCCTTTTCTTTTGAATTTGAGATGATGGATTTTGTTGTTGCATTTCCAATTAATAAGAGCTGATTCTATGCCATGTCACAGCCAAACAAATGTTGGACTGATCAGGTATAGTTCTTAATGAAACTATTAAGCGTGTATCAGATACATTGGTGTAGAACAACTTGATACAAAATATCATTTCGGATACACTCAAATAAAGTATCAAAATATCAAATTAGTATTTATTTAGATTATCATTTAATGTATCAATTCTATCATTAGACCTTTTTTACAAGTTTCTAATTCTGTTTATCATGTTTTTTATAGCACATCGATGTTGTTTATTACTACCTCCGTAAAAAATCAAAACTCTGCAGCATGAATCAATACACAACAACCAACTGCTTGTTCATCTCACACATAAAAAATACCTATGAAAGGTATTACCTGGCTAATGAAGATGATCTTATTAGTACCCAAGAACACATTGATCGCGTTTCAACTATATATGTATATGAGAGGTCAATCACTAACATCATCAAAGGTTTTGAAATTTCAGCTGCTTTACCTTGGCGTCTTGTAGACGATGTTTACATCCCGGTTAACTGCGGTGGACAATTTCATTGGGTGTTGGCTGTTGTTGAATTGCAAAACAAGGTGATAAGGATGTATGATTCTTCATTAGGCTCAAGGAAATAAACAATTCCGCACGAGATAAAAATGTTGTCTAAAATGTTTCCTTCCTCATCGACAATGGATTCTTTGAAAAAATTGAGCGAACAAATTTTGGTGATTGTGATGTGTACAAGGACAATAATTCTGGTTCACTCTTGGAGGCACAAGTTCATTTCATGGTTGAATTTGCCCAAGACATTAAGCAACAAAAGAGTGATAGCCTATAAGTATTGTGTTTTTATTATTTTTGAATCATGTATTATTTAAGTTTATAACTAATATT